CCCGGTTTGGATCCCACATATGAGGGCCAGTGACACTGCCCTCCACAGCTAAGATGCTGAACAACAGCTCAACCTGGAGCTGGGCTGCCGGGAGTCGCCCCACGAAGGCAAGTGGGTTGCCATGGGAAACCATGTGTAGCCAGCAGCCAGCGTGAGCAGCGACAGATCTGCCTGGCCCTGGGAGGAGCGCGGTGGTGGTGCCAACTTGGGCCAGTGGGGCAGCGTCCTCCACAGCTAGACTGAAGAACAACAACAACAAAAAAAACGATAGCAACTTGTCTGTTTCCCTTCCCCCAATTCCCCAATAAAAAAAATCTTTAAAAATAAATAAATAAATAAATAAAATGGCTTCCTCATGCTCCTTAACCCATGATCTCCTTAACCTGGTTTATTTTCTTCTCAGGCTTTATTGCTAATTGAAATTACATTATTTATTTGTAATTCCCCAAAACTATAATTTAACCCTTTGTAAGCAAGGATTTTTTGCCTTGCTTATTATTGTATCATCAGCATACAATAGTTTAGTAATGGTAGGAGCTCAAAAATATTTATTATATGAATGAACAAACTGTATAAAGAAGTCCATTTTTAAAACACTAAAGGGAAAACAGATTGTAGGTTTGTTTTTTACATTTTCTTTATGCTTTCCAGTATTTCTCAAATTATTTATATTGAATATCTCTGTTATAATCAGGGGGAATACAAACTATTTAAACCAACAAAGTATAGCCTCGAATCTGGTCAGGTCCATTTTATCACTATTCCAGAACAAGCACTCAATGAATATTCATTTCAGTGTCTTGCCTTTTCTCAAGCCTTCCTTCTCCCTTCACCTCTGCTAATCCTTTAAACCTCAGCTCAAGGCCCACCTCCTCCATGCCGCCTTCCCTGAGTCTTCCTATCCTTACTGACCTCCCTCTTGCCCCAGATTTTGCATTTAACTGGGTATGTGCTACATTTAGTCATTCTCATCCATTACTTTCTGTTTGCTGATGTAGGTGAGTGTCTGAGAGTGAGAAAGTGGGTAAAAGTGAGTGAGTGAGACAGAGAGAGAGAGGGAGAAAATGAATACTTGGTGACAGTACAGGGTGTGGAAGCTACTGGGTCACGGAGCCAGGTCTGAAGGTTCCTGATGCTCCTTCCCTGACATCATGCTCCACAGTGATACTTAAGCTCACGTTTACTACACACTTACTATGTGTCGTGCGTTTGCCATTCACTTTCCCATTTGTCAGTAGGAACTACTTTCGTATCCATTTTAAGACAGAGGACACTGAGACTTAGAAAGGCTAAGCAACTGCCTAAAGTGACAAAGCTTGAAGTAGTAAGGCCTAGATTATAAAACACAGCCCAAGCTCTCTTTCACTGTGACAAACGAAACATGCTTTCCCTTAAACCATATGCCACAAATGTGCTTTCAGTCACACGGCACACTCTTGGTCAAGTTGCTTAACTCACCAACTCTGCTTCTATGTTGATAAAATGAAGACCATCATACCTCAGGTGGTTCTGAACGCAAGCTAGGAAGCGCCTTACGTAGTGCCCAGCATGTGGCGGGCACTAAGTAAATGGCTGTTATTATCATTAGAGACGCTACCTCCTTGGCATTTTAAGGTTGGGTATGGCAGTCCCATCGCATTTCTTTTACAAAGTGAAGGGCTCTGGTCAGCTGCATCTCCAAAGCTGGGGGTCAGAGCTCTGCTCTGCTGGGTGGTGAAGGTGCTATTCAAAAGCCTGGACCAGAGAAAACAAATAAGCAGCCCAGCCAGGTTAGCCAGAGCTCAGATTTCCTTGTCTGAATACATAATGATAGGAAAGGGGTTGAGTTACAGAAGGGGCTGTTTTTGTTTGTTATCCAGACCCACTAATCTAAACACATCTCACTCCTCAGGAATTATTTTAGGACCAGGAAGCAGCACACTGTTTATTGAAAGAGTCACAGAAGAGGATGAAGGCGTCTATCACTGCAGAGCCACCAACCAGAAGGGGTCTGTGGAAAGTTCAGCATACCTCACCGTGCAAGGTAAACAGCTGCTTCAGAAGCAACCAGAAACTGTTCAGACATCTATTTCCCTGTTTGTTTAACTTTTCACCTCCCAGTCTCCTGCTGCTCCTCCAGTCTATGCCTTTCCCTGACCTCCTGTCCCCTTCCCCACCCCAACCTGAGACCCGC